TCTATTGATTTACGAGCATGTCAGATTAGAGAGAATCATTGTGCGTTATGACTGCGCCATGAAAACAACCAGACGATACTTGACTTTTGATTAAGATCAGAAATTGTTTATCGAGCGTGTAGCTAAATAAAATTTGCAAGTTTCGGTCGTGTAAAACTTACAGGAACCACGTCGTTGAATCTTTCACGCTGGGATAAACATCCCTCCCATTACGGGGGAAACGAACTTTTGATCGTACGAAAGTAATCACTTTGAAAACGATCGTCGCTTAAGCAGGCACCTTCATCAATTAATCACCGAGAATATCCTCGGTACATGCAAGAAAATGTCTCTTTCGAATCGTTTAAATCATTCAAAGCAACGAGACATTGATCATTTTGTATCAAAGTCGCGTCATGAATATTTGTAAGTCTCACAGAATTTCTCATCAAATGGATAGCAGATTTCTATAGAAATTCATACGCCACCCACGCGTGAATGACATAGCACTCAAAGTGTTAAAGACGCAGCTCATACATAAAAAAAGGATCTCACCTGAATATGAATGAATAAAATAGTTAGAACCTTTTCTACCCCATGCGGAAGCTCAGATATATACCCTATAGAAGGAGACGAACGTAGGTTACATAGGTTATTCACGGTTACATAATCTTCCTGTGTAAATCCGGCACGTTAGACGGAGCAGTAACTTCCGGTTCCGTAGTCGACGTAACCGCAAAGCAATTTAGACCGGCGTTACCATGCATAAGCGATCCGATGATCGGACAAGTACACAAATTTCTAACTTATTACGTAAACTACATTTTATCTCGTAGTTTCTTACAATTTCATCGTCACGAGTCATCTATCCTTTTTTCTTTCTTCCTTTCTTTACGCTCGGAAAGAATCTCCTTTCTTCTTGCCGTCTAAGAAACGAGGGGCTCGTACCGTATAGTTACAAGCCTGCCTCTAAATCCTTCCGAGTGAACGGTGCCACCGTGAAGAACATACAGAAGTAACTTCTTCTTCCTTCAGCGTTTCGTCCAAGGTGCCTGTTAAAGGAGGCGAAAACGGTATCTATCCACCTTCTAGCCCTGGACCAGCAGGCTTCCGGTGCAGCTTTCGAGATTTATTTATCGCGTACCTCGGACCCCTTGTCCTCCTCGACTATTCCTTACGGAGCTCCGAAGCTCTACTTTTCCTCGGGTTTTCCTCGTATTCGACGTGAACGCGAGCGAGCAACGATCTAAGTGATAAACCTCAGAAACCTTCTTCGAATCCCTCTAATATCTCCCGAACAATGGGTCGCTTTGTAACGAAAACCCTACACACACACAAACACCCTTGGAATATCTTCAATTTTTCTGTTCATTTTCCGAGGTTCGTAATAAAGCTTCCTCGGCTGGTTGGCAAGCGGCACGGTTAACGATTATAAATTACAATCACTGCTTATCTTTGTATACGTCGAAGAAAATGCTAGAAACGACATCGGGACGCTTTTCCTTTCAACGCGCGGTTTCTTCGAAAAAGGAAAGATCGTCGAGCACAATACGTATGAGGCCAGGGGTATAATACATCGAATCGGGACGAAATGCCTTTTCACAAGTTCTTTCGAGCTTTCAAAGCTCGGAACAATATCTGACTTGAGATTGGGGTCGCGGCATGTCCCTCGGGTAAGAAGTGTTATCTACGTTTCCCCAAGCCCGAAACGAGACCCCCCGTCGACCAGCACCATTCAAGCCACCTTCTTCTTCGACCCCTTTTGCCCACCAACCGCTAACCCCCTTCAATTTTAATCACTACTTCTGATAGCCTGCTCGATTGGATCAGCCATGATTTCGTACACCCTGTTCTTCTATTCGATTTTCCCAACAAAACTTCGAATATCCATTGTTTCCGGTTGTGTTTCGTTCGCGTTTCAGGTTCTTTCAGCACACATCGTAAAGCATGCTGTAATTATAACGATAAGGGGTTAGCCGGTTGACGCGAGAGCTAATTAAAGTTCTGAACCCTGGACAATGGGTTTATTATGCGTTCGCACAACTGTTATACTCCTCTTTGGGGAGTATTCAACGTGTAACAATATTGTTGCCTGTTCGAGCGAAGTGCACCAGCTTTCTTAGCGCCCTGGGCGCCGAGTTTACTGCTACACCCACGCGAAACTTGAGACAATGCTTCTGAATGCAGATCCTAAAGGACCATTGGAGTTCGAGCTCGCAAGGTTCCATACGAAATTTCCACTGTTTTGGTTCCTTTTTTAGGTGTCAATGTTTTGTAACGCAATCAAGTTTCGGGAGAACGTAGGAATCGCTGATAGCCGAGCCATTCAGGGTGGAAAGTTTCTGAACGTTACGTTTCATTAATAAGCAACCGTGGGAAGTTAGTCGTCCCCTGTTCGCGATAAACGTATCCACGATGGCGTTTCCTAAATACACAGCGAAGCTGTGAAAAGACTCTAAAGACCGTACCCTCGACTCGCTATTAAACCTCCCGATCGTTCAAGTGCTAATTATTCGCCTTCAGTCTAATGATGCTAATTAAAATTTCCTGCTATGCCTTCGACCCATTGAGAATTTCGTCTTGTCGCTTCTTTCGTCGTTTCCCTCTGTACCGATAACTTTCAATCGCAGATACTCGACTTCGTTCGATTCATCGTTTCTTTTTCTTCTTTGGCGAAAGGATCGAAAGATAAATAAAACGAATTCGGCAGCTTTCGATTTAAAATTAATAGATAATGTTATAAAACGCGCAAGGTAAATTTAGATTCCGCATATAAGATTTCTAAGCCAACGTTGATCGAAGCCCGATCGTTTATTAAAGCTCTAATCTAATCTAATGGAGGATACACGACACAAAGCCAACGATCGTTACAAGTGTAAGACGCGCGTGTAGCTTGCAGGATACAAGTATCCTTCGACGTCACTAGTCTGGATCGAGAGGAAATTAATTAAGATGGCACTGTCCGGGATCAGGCCACCCCTTTTCACACCCCACAATCTACCGACTTGTGCAGGAAACATTCCATGCATAGCTTGCGGCTACATCTCAGCCTGCTACATCACCAAATCCGTCCCTTCCATCGCCATGTACCCTTTACCCGGCTCTAAGCACCATTCCCCTTGGTACCGGAACTCGTGTACGGATATATTCCTGGTGTTCTACCTGCCGGCTCAACCTGTATATACTCGAGCAACCACGTTGGGAGCCAACTATTTGATCATTTCAATAACAATAACAAGGAATGCGTTCCTTGTACGCGAAGCTGTAGGTCTCCTACGTAGATTGCACTTTGGAAAATTAGATCAGGGAATTGAGCAAACTATTGTCAATCGCTTGCGCGTAATTTAGTAGGTATCTTTCAATTAAAAATACAAATGAAGACTTCTAATTCTCAGTCGAAACGAGAGTAAATTGGTTCCTTAATAAGATACGATTCTAAACGACCACCATGCTGAAATCGGATTGGATTCGAACGGTTAGAACGGATGACTAGTCAGCCAATTGTCCCTGTCGAGTGGAACGCTTGATAGCTAGTCCCATTCGGACGAGCACAGGTCAGACGATCGTCCACCGGTGTTATATTTTCCTTCGAGTCTGCCTGATCCTGACAATAAGAATTAATCGACACCTCGCCGTTCCCGTTCGCGACAGTTTCTATTCTCTGTTCTCAAAGATTCGTCGCCATTGTACGAATCATCTGGAGTCGTAAGACGGGAAATGTCATAACCATCGTTTCCATCGTTTATTTATAAGTTTTAGAATTGCAAACAATATGAACGAACGTTGACGACACGGATAACACGTTATCATTATAATTTTTCGGGCAAAAATAAAAAATATGAACGACTGCGAGTTACCGTTCTCGTTACTCAGAATGATCGTTCATTTTTTTTTTTTTTTTTCGATCAGCCCAGAGCGAACAATAACTACCACCATTGAAACGACAATCGTTATTTCGTTGGTTCGCTAGGTTTGCACGAGACATCCCATTTTTTCCCATGTCATAGTTTCATCGTCGTGCAGTTGCACCTGTCCCGTACGCTCGGTGGACCAATATCTGATATCGCGATTTAATTAACTTAGTTTCACGGTGCGCACTCGCGAATGCGTCAGATATTTTCGCGATCGCCACAGAAATACCATCCTTTGAAGATTTTTCATATCCCGCGTGCGAACGTACAGGGAAAAAGAACGTAAAGTTAGATGAAAATATGTTTTGATGGTTTCGTGAATGCTGTATTTATCGATGCTGATTGTTCAGCCGATAAATATATTATACAAATGTTTGATCTGCCTCGGAATTGAAGTACTGATAACTACCGTTCGAACTCTATATAGGTACATTTATTTGACCGGTTCATTATTGAAAACGTGCGTGTTTATCACGTTCAACGGACGTTATTGTTTAGAGACCGTTCTATTTTCGTATATTTTCAAGATAGAAGCCATCGGGTTAAGTATCCTTGCCCACGGGATCAAGCAACGAAGCACGTTAGGAAGTTATAAGTCTTTAAACTTTAATTTTAAGTTCAACTCTCCGGTGGAAAGTTAGTTTAGTTTTAGCTTACTTATATACTTTTGCGGTCTGCTTTTGAAATCTTAAGAACCAGCAAGATTTTGCAATAAACTCTAAATGGTTTAAATTGCGAGAAATATTAAAAAATGTTACAGGCACAATAAAAATTGAAAATTTTCAAAATGTGAAATCTAGTTTTGTGAGATTGTTATTAAAATTTTGTACGCAATTATTTCATCTTAGTTCTAGACAAATACAAACGCTATGAAATCTTAAAAAATTATCGCAGACGTCGAAACGCAATATTATACATATAAAATCAAATAAGAGAAATTGGTGAAGGGTGACTTACCCCTATTCTCCGTCACTGTTTCCACCCTGTGGCCGATCAGGGTGGTGGACACCGGGAGGTTGGAGGAGGCGAGGCGCGGGGTGACGATTTTGCTTTGGCTCGAGTCGTCGCGATGCTAGCGCCGCGCCGGAGGCTCCAGTCCGAGCCCAGCATCACTCGTGGTGGTTTCGCGCGCGCATCCCCCGCCAAAGGTGCGACTACTTTTCGAGGAAAGGGAAAGAGATTCCGTCCCCGGTAAAATTCCGCCACGCTTTCGTCCCCTTTTCGCGGCGACAACAGATCTCGCCACGTACATTGTGTAACGCGTACTCACTTTCACACACGGATTGTCTATCGTACGTGATATGATCGTCCGACGAAAGAAACGACCGATCATCGCGAGCGGACGTCGCGAAAGAACGCGTTCCGGCACTATGTGAAGAAGATGGAAAAGTTCGGTGACACGGTTACCTCGAACGATCCACGAGGAATGCACAAACACGACTGAATAGCGCGAGTCCCGTCGAAGGTTGTCGGCCGTGTCGAAGCAAAAACACTCAGCGGATATACCGGAGCCTCGCATACCTTCGTTTTGTAAACAGTAATCACGACTCGTCTAGCTGCTCCCGCTCTTTCTTCTTCGTGTCGTTCCCTGAGGCGTCATTGTGTTGTTGTTCGTCAAACCGAGTGGATAATATTACAAAGACGAAACTGTGCCGTGCTTCCACACGCGTATATAACCTCACTGTGCGTGTCGCGTTACTCGAATAAGTGCACGGTTGAATGGAAGCGGGTACAACGTCTATCGGACAAGATCACTTCGTTTCTGAATATTCAACGACACATCACGGCGTCGTAACAAGCGGGATCTTCCAGGGAAAACTTTGGAGTCGCGTAATCGCGTTATACTCGAGCCGTTGTTTCGCGACGTCGACGCGCGGTGGTTGATCGCTTGAACATGGCGCTGAAAGCGCGAAATTCCACGTATCGATTCCTAGATCTACGATAAACGTCGCGCGAGGGAGTTGAAGTGCGCGGATATTACAGTGAACGATCTCGAATCGATTCAGAAATAATAGTTTCTTTCCTCGTCTTCTAGGACAGGCGATATTTCTTTCGGTTTCAGTCCGCGAGCGTAATTACAGCGAGTGTCGTCGGAGAAAAATTACCTCGTCTTAGAAAAGTGTCGCATGAACTCCGCCCCGCTCGAATGTCGCGCGTGTTCACTGTGAAGTAGCGTCTCGTTCCGCTCGTAGTTCACGCGAGTAAACGTCGCGTCGGTGAACCGTGAAAGTGCGTGAACAGGATAAAACGGCAAACAAGCCTCTCGAGGGTGATCTGATCAACGAAGTGATAAGAGGTGTTTTTAAGAGGAAAAGAAGAGATCGCGTTGAGTGCACGGATCGAGTTCTTCTCGCAATCGCTTGATTTCGTGCCATTGTCTATCTTCTCTACGCAGTGTTTCACGCCACGCCTGGTGTACACGAACAAAGGAAACACGATCTTCTTAAAGGGTGAGTTTCAAACCACTTTGTGATGAATTTTTATTCGCAATCAAATCTTCGCTAATCTACCGCGACATTACTTTTTCTAACTTTATTTCAAGTTGCTACTGCTTTGATTATAAATTTTTACTTCAGCAAAGTTAGGTTAATTATAAAGTTAATTGTTCGTCATTTGAGAATGAAAAGTTTCTGAAAATCTATTCCGTCGCTCTTGTCTCTGTCTCAAAGGGTTCAACTATTTCGAAATTTGCGAAAATTACACTAAACACTTTACTGCGGTGGGACGCACCAATGAGTCCTACGGTTTCATCTAAATGCATATACGGTTCCTTGGTCCATAGTAAGTGTTTCGTTAGAATCATAGACATGAAAGGGTTAACTTCCGTGGTTACTGCAACGACTCTCGTACGTGTTACGATGCATTCTTGTTCGTGAATGACACTTGTGAAGCGAAATTTCGACGCTGTCTTGTACCGACTCCATTTTGGTGTGTCTGTCCCGCGATGTACAAAGTTTCGCCAGACTGCATCGCATCCACGAGAGGTTGAATCGAGGCGTAACAATTTCTGGATAAAAGCATACCGGATGAAAATTTGATACAAGATTAAACAATTTCAAACGAAGTCGATTTCGTTTGTTGAAAAATTCAAAGATGGAATGGTCGGATTTCTGAAAGGCTTTATTAAAATTTCACTCGGTTTTCTTTCCCGAGCAAATTTACCAGTACTTTAACTCGCGTTATTAGTTTGCTTAGACAATGCCCCGTTAAATTTATTCGTTCACCAACACTTTGATACTTTAATTACTTTCGCTCGCATGCAACCGAGCGATTTATAAATTCGGATCTTTGGTCGAGAAAGATAAACCGAAAAATGAATCAGGTTATCAAACGACGGGTTCGGTATAAGCCGAGATTAATGAAGCCCGGTGTTTGATAAAAATTATAGAATACAAAATGCGACGGCCGTGTTTATTGTAGAATGAATCGAACCGGAAGCCCTCGAATGTGAAACGTTCGACAAATATTTACAGTACATTCGTGTGACGAAATTGCGTCTACATCATCTGCAAAATTTATCGAAACAGTAACTTCGCTTCTGGTTCGAAATGTAAATATACGAGCCAGCCGCCGAGTGTTTCTGTCGTAAAATTTTTGCAATATTTCATGAACGTGCACTGGCATCGAAATCGACCGGTTAAACAGCACGTAATTTGCTGTGAAGCAGAATCAAAAACGTTTACGTTTGATACGCGTCAGAGAGAGAGTTTTAAAGCTTTGCTGATTCGGGTTTGCATTTCAATCTAAACCTTTTCCATGTTATTTCCCGAGCGAATGTTTCGATCATTTATCAACGATATCATTTTATCCTTCGTATTAAATTGTAACGATGCCCCGTGAATGAACTTAGCAACCACGAGATCGTTAATGAACTTGTCGCGAAGGAATATTGACCCTACGATGGAAAGAGTTTGAATCCTCTTAATCTGCACTCCCAGTTTCCTTATTATCCCGGGACGAACTTTCCAATGGACGTTGTAATCGCGAGTTACAAGAACTCGATAATCGCTTGAAGCTTATTTCGAACGGAATTTTAATTACAGTCGACGATGACGTTGACATATGGAATGCTTTGCACAGTTGTAATTGAAAGATTTCTATTCGATGACACCCGGTGTATCGCGTAAATCTCGAATTTCCTTGCTCGCGATCAAGTAGGGGAAAATTTTATTGGACGAATAGTTGGCTGGTAGAGTTTCTCGCGTTTCCCAGCATCGAAGATTCAGTCGGAACGGAGGGAATAAGGGTGGAGGGGGACAGAAACTCGAGTATAATGGGTGAATCCTGGGCAAAATTGAAATGATTGATGGAAGAACGAAGGGATGAGCAACGAGAGCAGGGTCGAGGAAACAGCACGGTTGAACAAAAGGACGAGAGGAAGTAGTTATGCTTGTGTACAGAGTAGGTCGACACCTAGGATGCTCGAACGCAGTTGAACTCGAATGCTTCCGATAATAGTGATAGTACTGGAAGTCATCAACCGGCTGCTCCCGGTTAATGAGTTTTCCAGCCTTCCACTGCTGACAGACATTTGTCATCGTTCGACCTGGACCAAGTAATTTCTCCCGGGTACCTTTCCTTTCGCCAGACATGCTGATGCACTCAGTTGTAATCTTATCGGTGTACAACTAATTGCCTCGTAACATGTTCGATAAATATTCACCATGTTACCAGGTAATTAAGCGTGTACTATATACGGTGTCTAATTATTCATCGATAAGATCGCAAAAGGGTGCAGCTTGCCTCTCGAAATAAGGGTTCGTGACAGAAATTAACTTCGAATTTAACCTACATTTCTGGATTATTAAAAAAATTGTAGATTATTTAGTCTGGACCTAATCAACCCTCCTAGGCAATCGTGAACCTTGATACTAATCGAAGTTCTAATATTTAGAATGTTTTGCATATATATTTGTTGCGAATGTATAAATTAACGATGTTCGTTTATAAGGCCGAACGATCAGCTTGATTTACAGCGATCTGATACGTTTGCAAGATTAATTGAAACTAGCAGTAAAGACGTGCGCTATTCGAACACGATATAAGGCAGCTTATCGGCGGAATAGCGATCTGGATGATACATGATGACACATGGTTATTGATACAAATATTCGAGATATAGGTGAATTTATTACGTGGGAAAATTATGTCACGTTGCTTCCTAGATCGGCAACGAAGATACCCGTATATCTGATAGGAAATGGAATAATTGGAAAATCCGGGGTGAAACACAAGTTGAAATTTCGCGTGGAAATATATCAAGATCAGGCCGGGAGTGGGTTGCTGGAAAACTTTTAAGAACGGTTTTCGAGAATGGGAAAGAAACTGTTGGGAATGCGCAAAAGTTTCGAGAACACGCCCTCGGACTTTTGAGAATTCACCGCGACCTGGATCCTTGCCACGCGAGCATAAGCAATCTGAACCGTGTAAATTCAAATTAAAGTCTTTCGGAATCGTTCTGGCAAACGTTACCGTTCCTCGCATTTCGATACACCGCGCACCGATTTCAATTCATTTCGAAAACACGAATCGTTCAGTAACAATTGTAAATGTAACACCCCCCGTGAATATTTTGTCGAATCTGTTACGCGTCGGAATCCGATCGAATATGTATGAACGGGAAACGTTAATCAGTATGCATCATTGGCAGAAAATTTCATTGATTTCGAACAAAGTAAATTAAAACTTCTCCAGCAGCTAAACACGTGTCGCGTGCTTCTTGACTGTTCATCGAAAGCTCGAAGCGATTTGAGTGAATGAAAAAATTATGACAATCAGCGGGACCATTGATCTGTTATTATTTCAACACGAAAGCATGGAAATCGTTTGCGGAATGTATAATCCCGTTTCCGTTCGATATTCAGGAAAGCAGTAGGCCGCAAGCGGGTCAGATTAATCAGTCATGGGCTCGCGCTAGCATAACGATTCCGCGCGTTTCGTAGGGAAGGCCGATTAGTAGATTTGTCATGCGACCGGGGTATTTCGGCTCGCGAATACCCCATTAGTGGTGCACGGTAGCCGGGACAGACAATGGCCGTATGCAAAGACGAAACTCCGCTAAGTGAACGCCGACTGATCAATGGGAATCCTATATTTTAGGGAAACAATACGTCATCCTGTGAAACTCTGCGCGTGACGTCGTCCTTTCCACTTTGAAGTGGATTAATGCACGACGCGGGGGACTAATGCCGTTGCACTTGCAACAAGAGACACGTTACAACGTGTATTATTAACAGCGACCGAGTTGTGCTACACTTAACATTCATACCTGCGCACAGATTTCATATTCGTTTTTCCGACTAATTAGTCGTGTCGCGCTCTGATGTACATTTTCTGGAATGATTATGAGGTCTTTCTAAATACTTAAGAGAACTGAACAAATATTACCGGTACTCTGCGAGTGTACTTAAGTCTGGATTCTACTTAAGCAGCTTTTCAACAATATTAATCCGAGGGATGACAGTAAGGGATCAAGGTAAATCTTTTATCTCGTATTTCTTTTTGAAGCACTAAATGCAAGCATTAAAGAACCGAATGATTCTGAAGTTTCAAGGGTTCCAATTCGTTTGTATTCGTGTGACATTAAGCGAACCGGCAAACATCGGTCTTGATCGGCAACGAATAATGTCATTCAGTAGAATTTTCCCTACGCGTGAAAATAAACGTCCGGAGAAATATGGATGAAATTTTTCCTTCTGTTTCCATCGATGTCTTTGAGGACTTTCCATTCGGAATCGATCAAAACCGGAAAAGTACCTCGCAAACTCGTTCGATCGGCTGAGAACTATTTATTATCGCATATTATTCAACGGGGTAGCAGAAAAATGGCGCTAATGGTTATCGGTGTTGATATATGGGGCAAAAGTGTAATAAACCGGATATATTTGACAGACTTACGAGCCCGAGGAAAGCATGGAAAACGTGTTACATTGCTTTTCATTGCATACACGCCTATATAGATCGTGTAAGAAATCCTATGACACAGATCGACTAATGTTCGGCCGAAATAATCCTTTGACACGTTGCAAATATCAATTTATTTATCAAAATTTCTACCTGCAAGATGGCTGAACAGTAAAACAACGAAATATTTGTGGACCTATTTTTTTCGGTTGAACTGTAAATATATCAACCGAAGCTGTGTGCGTCCGAAAGGGAAACGATAAATTGACGCTGTTCCCTTTCGAAAAAAAAAAAAAAATATAACGAATTGTCATTACTCCTCCTTTTTCCCAGACAGGAAATTTTTCTCTGTGTTCGTTGGATATTTTCATCGATAACTAAAGCATTCTTAATTTAAAAAATGTAGAGTCTCTATAACTCCAGGAAAGCTTCGAAAGAAGTAATTATGCATCCTCCACGTATGCTATAAAATCTGCATTTCATTTAGGTGATTTTCCATGTTATAAATATTCATACAGAATATTCATAGAAACTTGGGATATTGAGTTGCAAATTGGTGAGACTGAAAGACTGCAAAGGTTATTGTCGTATCTGTTTCTTAAATGTTCATTCGTATGATTCTTCTCGTGTACCATGCCGAAGATAATGAAAATTAAACGCGTACCGTTGAACGAACTAATTCTAAGTCCGATGTTGATTTTTACCGTTGTAAGAGGAAATTGCATGTTTGCACAAACTCAAATGTACATTCAGACACGCGATACATCGGTATGACACTGGCTCGAGGCGGTGTACATTGTTAGCACAGTGCATGGAAAGCAAACAACGCGGAGAGTATAATTTCGAAACAGGAAAACGATACGGTGACTGGTATTTATGGAACAAAGCTAAAGATTAACTCAACACAGCAAGGGTTGCGAAAGCAGGACACCACGAGCATGTTCTTAGAACGAGACACGAATTCATAAGATATTGTAGGATATGCAAATTTGAGAAACTCTATTTAGAAACGTACAATAATTTAATTATCACATCTTCGACTCTGAATACAAATTTTGTAAAACAAATTATTCGATGTTTATCTTTCCACGAATCAATTACTCAGTCTATTAAAACTTTCAATCAGGATTGAATTTTATTTCGACAAATAAATCTGAACGATACACGAACCGTGCCGAAGCACGGCAGATTTCACTTCCGCAAATTAGCCATTCGTCGCAAATTCATCCCCCTGATAATGGCATCGATTGTTCCCATTTAAACATCGATCTGCGCGAAACTGCAAGTCGGGCGAGTATCGAATCGCGCGGATTACGCCGTTTAACGCAGTGGCACCGTGAAATTACTAGGAAAAACGGTTCCATTTAGTCTTACGTATCCCGTGGCGTACGAGCGATCTCGTTGAAACGAGATGGAAAACGTGGCCGTGCTTCTGCAGCTTACACGGTGGCACGATACGTAACCATGGTTCTCGAATTTCACCTCTTCATTCTTTTATTCCTTCCAACATATACACGCGTGCCTGCTCTCGTTACGTGTAAACGCAGCAGTCTCGAGGGTTGTCTGTTGCTTAAGGGTGAGGACTTGACGTTGCATCAGTTTGAAAACCGTTGCGTTCCCTCGAAGGGTGAAACTGTCGTGACTTTTCCTCCTTGAGAGTCATAATACGAGGCCGGTTACGCTTTACGACTCGCGTACTCATGAATATTTTACAAAAATGCACGCCTCGAAGCTTCTATTCACGGCTGCTCGAATTCGCGGGTGCCACGTAGCTCGTGCGTATACCAAGCCTCGCTGTTTTCAGAATGCATTGTGTGCTCGAACGCGAGTTCTCAGCTCGTTCAATACCTGTGACCTCTACAATCTTCGAAGAATACCCTGGTGTTGGTTTCAATGAATTTTTAGTCGCCTTTTAACAAGCTAAAGTGAACTAGATCCGGTCAGACCGGGAAAAACAAAATTTTTTTTCGACCATTCGTTGAGATTTTGACCCACTAAACCCAATGGCGCAAGAATTTTGTCGATAACTCTTACCGTTTGGTTTGTACAAAAGTGACAAAGTCTAAATGTTATATAAGATTTTCGATCTTAGATACGGGTTGGCTAATAATAGCATAAGGATTGGAAGGTTGAATTTGAGAATTTTTAATAAATTGTCACGCGGAACTTGTAGATGAGGTTCAATAAACATCGATCAACAAGGAAAAGCTATTCCCACCAGCGGAGGGTAGTTTCGCGAGCAAGTTCCGCGCGTATAAAACGATAACAAAGCGGTTGGTAAAAGGTACTCGACGTTGTCTATAGCATGGTGCACTAGTAACTTCCGTCGGAATTAACTTGGTTACCAAGGTGTTAGCGTAAATTTCTTCGTGTGTGTGCTCGTTGATTACGCGATTAAACGGTTCACTCGAAGTACCGTCGTTAATCATGAATTCTCTTTATCCAACCGATGGAAGCGTTGCTTTCTAAGAGCGTGGGAAGGAAGGTTTCTCGAATGACGAGAGATTTATTCTCACTCGGCTCGTTCGATACGTCACACAAGTTAATCGTAAATTGTTCCTGCCTCTTTCAACGCCAGTCAGACAGGACATTTATTTTCCCCGCCCCCTGGCCATGATTTATGATCACGGATCGATTTCATCGACTTCTTTGATCGCGATGCCGCATTAACCGAACACTTTTCGCCGCATGACGGAAATTCCACCCCTAGCCAACCCTCTCGTCAATCGAATCGTAGCCTGGATAAATGAGATTTCGGGAATCTTACAAGGAGATTACTAAATTCAACCTTTACATTGCTCCCCATCCCTTCGTTTCTCTACGATCAATCCTCCTATAACCAACCGGATATCCGACTATAAATATTTAAAATTTTGTACATAAATTTTCATTTTGAAAGCCCTGATCGACGTAACGCTAATAAGAAATTATTTACGCAACATAATTCTTAAAAACATCTTCATCGATTATCTTACTTGCTCGAAAGTCAATTACTCTCCAATACGTTTCTTCTATCTTCCACCGTAAAAAAGAAAGAAAAAGAATAAATTTGAGGAAAATAAAGCAGCAGTAGCGAACGTTTCTCCGCTAAATGAGATTCTGATACAGCGATCGGATCGCTGTGGCTTGACGCTGGGAAGCTTCGATAAGGGTAGGGGGTTGGTTGCGGGTAGGGGTTTGATTTATCGGAAATTAATATGCCACGGGACCAACGCCGATGAAAACACCATACCGTTCGTGCAACGGGGCTCGGAGGGGTTGGAGGGCAGGCGGCCTGGAGAATTTAAAATAGATTTGCTCGAGCCAAGGAGCATCCCTGTCGCTCCTACCGCGCCTTATCAGACCTAAGAAGCTACGTAACGAAGCGTGGATGGGGCTGGCTGAAGCATATTAATGCTGCTCGAGAAATCGGGCTGGTTGCTTGTCGGAGAACCAGGCACGGACTCCAGGGACGGAAAAGGGTTTCTGAGCTACGGAGATAGAGGTTTACTGTTCGAAGAACCCGCCACGTCCCTGAACGAATTCGGGAAATGAACAAGGGCTTGGCTCGCAGTGATCCTGACTTATGGTCGCCCTTAAACTCTGTTAGGGATGTTATTAAGGGAAACGTGACACGTTGAAACTATACCTTTCCGTAGTTTGTTAATTCTACGAGTGAAATTTTACCCAGGCAACTTTTATCTCGTTTTAAAAGTCACACTCCTGCCATGACGGTATATTTCATTTCTCTTATTTCTTCTTTTTTCAGAAATTCCATGGAATAGCAACGCAACGATGAGCAGTATGAAGTTTTTTCCCATCGTTCTGGCACTCCTAGGAGGCACCCATATCCTCCACGCGCAACCCTCAGCATCCCCAACGGCGAAAAGCACCGGTGAGTTTTTCTTTTTCAATCTTCTGAACCAACACGTCGAATTGAATATTTAACAATTATACTCGTGTGAATATTCTTCTACGATTCTGAAACTGGGTCAAATGTTTCCACGAGTGTACCGTTGCGAAGAATCATTAAAATAAAGTTCATCAAACGAACTAATGAAACTAATATTGTCCGTGCAATCAGAAATATATACTGTTTGTACGATTAACGGAACGTTTCGCGAATAACGATTAAAGTTTGCGTTCATTTCCATTAAATATGCTACAATTGTTGCAATTTGGTCCGCCTAATCGCATCGGTTCACCGATTCTCCGAATTTTATTTCCAAACCGCTCGTGTACCATTCACGTGTCAAATATCGGCAGGGCCAATTCCATCGATTGCGTTTCCGCCAACGAAACCGAGTGATTTTCCATTTCCAATCGTCGATCTTTCCAGAATCCCTTTGCTTTAATAAATCTTCCTGATTCTTTTTTTTTATTTTTACATATTGTGAATGAAATCATTGAATTCAATACCGGCAATCATGGTAGATGACAAATTCTATTATTCGATTCTTTTTATTTTCTAAACTTATTTTTATACGTAGAATCATCCCCTAGATAGTAATATCGCGTTATCTATACCACCCTTTATATAAATGGCTATACGCGAAATGAGACCGGAAGGACCCTCAAGCTGGCCGTTAAAATCGAAAGGGGAACGCGATAAATTCCATTGCGTGTTCGTCATCGCGTTTAATGGACGAAAATTTCGCAGCAAGTTCTCCTAGTTTCCGTTTCATTGAAAACCGATATCGATGCATGGACCCGAACGGACAAGCCTTTTTCCTCTGCCGTGTACCGACATCGAGTTTTCTGTTAAGGTGCTCGTGTCGTCTAGTTCTTCGAGTGCCACTTGCGCCTTGATTACGTTCGAGAAAGAAAAAAAAAAAAGCAATATCCCGAGCGTTCGTTGGTCTCTCACGGTTTCTTTATCCAAGGAATAAGTATTTCTCGAAAGCACGCTTGCTAAGCAACTACCTACCTACGCGTTTGCCTTTTCTTTTTTATTTAATTTCCCAAAGAGAATTTCTGCGCTGGTATCATTGGTGTGCAGAATATTCATTCCAAATAGTTAATTAGAAATGAAGAAATTTTTTTCTTTTAAATTCTGAAAGTCCGATGATTTCAAATTTTTGATACCGTTGAAATTTAGCTTCGTTTCGGCAATAAATAACCACATTATCCATCGTTCATTAATAAAATCGTGTCCAAAGCAGAAAGTCCCCCGATACGTGGAGTGCAGCTTAAGCCTCGCTTCGACAGACGATTAATCAAACTTCCCGTTTCTATCAGATATTATCCCGTGCTTTTTCCCCGATTGCACCGGATTCGTTTGCTGTCCTTATTGTCGGCCGATTATACGCGATGGCGTGTATAATGTGCCTCTCAGGGAACGTGACCCCAATATCAGTTGGTGCAGGTTGCACGGTGGAGGAGTTCCAGTCTCCCCGCCAATCCCGGTGCACGGGTAAAAACTAAGATTACTATGCAATGCAATCAGCGGCGTACCAGGCTTCTTTCAGATTAAAACACAGTCGGTGGATTACTGGTCGAAACTATTGTTTTGCCAGCGGCTGCTTCGACGGAGATTGCTTCGAGCTACGAGCAAAGAGAGAGAGAAAAAAGTTACGGGAACAACAACGTTTGAAGGGAATCGTCGTCAAGTCGAAAGAAAATTCTTGCTCGCGTTCCGCATACCGTTACCGGCCGTTTTCATCCTGTACTCTTGCTCGCGAACTCGTATCGGGCATTTACATATTCCGCAGCAATTTTTACAAGAGTTCGCAAGATCGTTCGTGTATTGTTCCCATGGTTGTTTTCGAAACTATACGCGCACTTTTTGGAACAATGACGATATTAGTTCTCCTGGTTGTTTGAAAATTACACTCGCATTCTTTCTTGCATTTCTATACAATATTGGCTGTTCTTTCACATGTGACAGTCTCGTTAATTCATCCACTTTGCCATTCATAGTTTCAATTCAACCCTCGGTGTATAGAAATTTTGCAGTTTACCCCATTAAGGAGTAACAGAGTTTCCGTATCTTGGAAATGAACCACTTACTCTAATTACTATCCAGAGTCTTTTTTGAAACATTATTTTCCATCAAGGGACGAAGTAATAAGACTGAAGTGCCTTTTCGGAGACAACTTCGCGACTGGGATAAGGAAGTTCTACGGGAAACGTGTCGCTTGATGAGAAGGAATTGAAACAGACGCGGGATTCGTTGACTTCGTTCCGTTTTCCAGCGCGACAAGAGGGATTCGTTTGGAAATCCTAGAAACGGTGTCTCGTCTGCCGCGAATTTTATCACTCGGCACCGCGGACCGGATGGAATTAATGGTTATTTTATTCATACGAGGCAGCCCTGATTCCTTTTGTTCCGCTTGTATTTCGTGCTCCGATTGTCCGGGACAGAAATTCGTGATTAATCGCTCCGCTTCTTATATGGCCCCGCGGCTTCGATTCAAACGATGACAGAAAAAGCTGCGGTTGTTTCTCTCTTTCAATTTTCGCAAAGGATTCATTCATTATCCAGGCCGAAAAACGTGTCGTAAATAACGTTCTTCCTGGAAAGAAGCACGCAAGCTAGAACAGCAAGAAGTATCATTAAGATTCGTCCACCAGATTATTCCGAAGATCGAGTACGAAAAGAATTGTCGTTTGCAATAAATAGATACAGAGGAAGGGGTTAATCGGATAAGATAAATGTATTAATCGTTTGCTTCTTTCCAATGAAATTTCTCACGATAGTTCGATAACGAGACTATGGTTTAGAACAGATTGAACGGATTATATTTCTCTAACACTTGACATCCAAACGACAATTAGCTAGGAAAACTTTGATCGTTGATAAAATGTGGGAAAAGGTGGATTCTGTTGGATAGCCAGACAGAAAGATGGCCAGAGGCAGAGTGTGGGCTAATGCATATACAATGCGTCGTTTATCCACGTTGGGGATGCAACCCCAATGAATAATAAACTACCCTATAGACACGTGGATAGATAGAGCGGGTCTGTTACGAAGCAGGATCATTCTGGTGGGAGGATTATCGACGAAAAAGTGGCACGATGACCCCACGAGGGTGTGAATATTATTGCTTTCAAGATTTCATCCCCTATACGCGCCGTTTAGGTTTCGATACCAACAGATGGGTTATATCTTTTACCGATAAATCCGATGAACCGTCATGGTTTTATATGGAGCTACGTAATATTCTGTGTATTAATTAACCTTTAGTCATTCGCACCCCATTTTTTTTTACAAGAAGACACATATGCAGTAACCCTAGTATATTTAAAATATTTATTAATACAAGTGGGGTAAGTTTTGAAATTTATGTAAAATATCATGTGTGTACTGATAGCCGAAGAAAATGTACTTAAAAAGAAAACAATCGACAGTAATTTTTTTAATTGTGAGAACAATTGATGATGTTCCATATTTAACGTTTATAATCTTTTTAATAGTTGCTGGTTCTGTTGGTAGCTCTTTCATTGTCTTCCTCAGCCATTATGTTTAAAACTGTTAAGAGAGCTTTGAATAGTATAAAAAGACCTCATTAACATTCCATTTGTAATTAAACGTCGTAGATACGCCAGAGCAGTGCAGTGTTCCTTTCCGAGTCAAACGAGAACAAATAACAGTTTAAGTTGCTTTTGAAGGGAACATTTCATGTTTCCACCAAGGGTTAGCTTTCCCTTGATTTTCCTTGGAAAAATCCCTGGACAGTTTGCAACGTTTTAATAAAACAACGATATTGAAATGACACGTAAATTTTTGTTACTATCTTCTGTTAAAATATTTTTTCCGCTAATTCTTTAAAATCATATATTTTTGACCTATGGAAATTAATTAATTAACAAAACGATAAGGCGAATGTATCAACCAGATAATGGAAATGGAAATTCTGTAGATCACTTCTGGCACAATTTCTCAGCCGTTTCAATCGTCGAAGATTCTAAACACGACGTCAGTGAGATTTTATAGAATTCATTATCTCGTTGAATCGCGTGCTCCATGGCGGTGGGTTGAACGGTTTAATTGCGTGAAACGGTCGAATTACGAGGGACAAGTCTCGGCGGCGCGAAAGGCGGATAATTAAAACGACTGTCGTGGCGACCGTTTAAATTTTCGGCAACTCCAATTTCGACCCTTCATTTTTCCGCTATTAACATGTCCCGCGGTTCGCCGTAACACCCACCGGGAAATTACGATGCGGCCTGCTTAGGAGGAAAAAATTTATCGCGGCTTAACGTCGCTTTAACTTTCTCGGGATACTTTTTAACCATCGCCCGGGTCAGCCGGTCGCATTGAATCGGAACCGAAATTACGTGATTCGGTTTAAACTCGCGACAAAACCGTGCACGAACGTTTTTTGCGAAACAATTTCAATTTACCAACGGTCCGGTCGCACCTGGCAAAAACCGTGTACGCTTAATTTCCCCGCTATCTCGTTTACAGCGTCCCGATGCATGTAGACGCGTACTCTGTCAGCGCAGTTTCCAGCGAAGTCGGGAGCAAAAAGGTGTGAATTACGGGAAACAGGTGATTATCGCTTTGATGCGTTGAAAACACAATTCGGCTGTCTCTCGCGCCATACTGTCGGCTGAATACGTTTCGAATCGCCTAATTTTGACAAAGTACGCATAATGCGACTTTCGAAAGTCGTGGAAAATGAGAAAATTAGTCTGTTATCGATAAAAAATAATTTCAACCAACATCGAGACTATTCTTTATTCAAATGGAAGGGTAAAGGGTTAAAGGGTTCGAATTAAATTAGATAAGGCGAGAAACGAGAGAAAGACATGAGATTGGGTTAAAATGCACGAGAGGAATAAGAATGCGTAGTGGGTCGTGGGAGGACAGGAAAAAATAGAAAGAAGAGATAAGAGATAAAGAGACCGTGGGAGAAGGAATAAAAGGAAGAAGAGAACGATGGAAAGGGTTTTCTTTAACCCGATAAAACGTGATCCTCGCTTTATCAAGTTAACGTAATCCACTTATTTTCAACCGGCAACGAGGTGGGCTGGATGGTGTTGGATGAAGAACGGTCCTCGAATAGCGAGTATAGAGAGAGAAAGAGAGGGAGGGGGGATGAGATTATGCAGGTGTAAAGCCCGTAGCAGGAAATACTGCCTTTTAAATTAATTTCAGGGAACGTTCGTCGTCGTACACAGAAGCGACGAGCTGTTTGTCCTTTTGTCGTGTAACGCCTCCTGGTTCACTCTTCTCACCCTCTCCTTCGCCCCTCTATCAACTTCCACCCTCGCGTCCCTGCTCGCCAAACCTTCGTCTATATCGCATCCTGCCCGTTGGATCGGTTCCAATTGCGAATTGAACCGTTCGTAACTGTTGAACGTAAATTATGGCGTTTATTTATTCTACCATGTCCCCTGTGTCCAACCCCCTCTTCGGCTACCCCTTTCGCAGCCATCTATCCTGCTACGCCTCCGAAATCAGTATTTCGCCGACGACGGCCCGGTTTCGTGTCGATTTCCCTTGATCATCGTCCAATTGATCTCAAGTACTGAATAAAATAAGAAAAGAAATATTTTCAATATTTTCCATCGATGGAACGAAACATCCCTAACGACGCGTCGCGACGGCGCGCAAATGTTACAGTAGTCAGGGACGAAATACTTATAGGACAGTTGGCGTTACAGAATGTACTAGTACGAGTGAACGTGTGCAATTTTCATTACTATCCTGTCGCCATTATTCCGTATCAGAGCAGCACCGGTTCGTGGTGCAAACTTTCAGACGTTGTCTGAGTAGTTTATGAATACCGCGACGCTGGGATGATTGTGGCCGTGGTGGAGGATGACTGGGGTCGTTGGAGGAGATGCCGTTGAAAACGTAGGGGTGGGACCAGCGGGCGTTTATCAACCCTCTGTCCCTGACAAGCGTGCATACAAACGGAGAATATGTACAGACGCAGCAGCAGGCGTCGCGACTCTCGAGATACTCTGATGCCGGGATAGAACCGTGTGGCGTTATAACTCAAACGCGAACACCCCTTTGACTAGTACTGCTACGGCAGATATTACTTTTATACACGTGATACTGCATCACTTCCTCGAGACAAAGGGAACGGGGGAGAAATGTACGACAAGGAGGAAGGGGTCACGATAGTTGTTAGAGGAACACTGACACGAGCTTCAATTTCACCAGAATGGCAGTAATTTTCTGCTCTTCTTTGCTCTTTCTATCGTTACCTCCCTCCTCCTTATTCCCCTTTCTTCTGTTAATTTCTTCGTTCACCAACCATACCGCGGACTTTTCATCCGAGCGTAAAGATTAAATGATGACTCCCCGAGGAACGAAGCTTTCACAGTATTTTCCATTGGATTAGCAGAGAAAACTTCTCCTTTTTATCAGTTGCTGACATTAACACAGTGATGACAGAATAACTAGGCGAAGAACAGGAAAGAGAAACTTTGATCTTTTAAAAATTATTCGGTTAATTCTTAAAACATCCTGTATAAAATATTAAATTTTAGGCATAAATGCGTAATTGATGGTGTGATTTAAATAACATTTAGCTACACCAACTAAACAGCGTTCAATTTATTGTCCCATCGTTGGTATGGCAAATTAATTCACGTTGGACGGGCTAATAAAATTTGTACGTCGAGGTGTCGCGTTTTACGAGCCATATCCGCGATGAGAGACATGACTGATTGCAACAGAAACCGTCATTTTATCGATGCATAGCAAGGCAGAGGAACTTTGACTGATGGTACTTATTTGTTATCGAAATTACCTATTACTTACCGTATTGGCAATATATCTTTATCGCCTTGTCGATACCTACGGAAATACGAAGTTTCCGCGAGGCTTCTTATCGATTATGGCGAATTATTATGTCGAGTCATTAGTAGAAACAATTGCAAAGCCAATTACGAATATAAATACACATCACAGCGAAAAGCAATTATTTTATTGCTGTCTCAACTAATTACCTCTATTATCTCACATTATCTTAAAAACACAAAAAATTGTTATATCATCGGAAACAAAGTACCTGCCTTCTAAGAAACATAAATCTCAATCGTAACATTAAAAATGATAAGTGTAAAGAAAAGTAAATTAAGCTTATCGAAGATACCAATTGTGATGATTAATTTGATCGTTTGTTTCGGATCACGTGCACAAGCAACTAGACAGATGCGTGCATAAATATGCACACGGACAAACACACGAGCTCTCTGCTTTAATTGAAAAGCGAAACGCGTGTTCCAGATTTCGAAGATATTAATTAGCTTTCAGAGTTAATCGCGTCCCTCCATGATGCCCGTCGGTGTTCACGGAATCTATGCGTTTTCACACGATCCCGTATAATACCTCTGGCCACACTCGATCGACACAGAGGTCGATGACCAGCCTGATAAATCCTGCTCGAGAATTATCCTCCCCAGAATATTCTGGCTTATAATCTGTCATGATTTTCGTCAAGATATTGGAACTGCTGCGACGTTTCAATTAAAAATTCGTTTACCAACAACTGGACAAAGTTAATTGACGACCAGCTGTGCGATAACAGTGTTTCGAATAAGATAAGTAAAGGGTAGTTAAATTTCCGGAAGGTCGGCAACGGATGGGACTTAGACTCCTCTTCCTCTATCTCCGCTAGAACTTAGATTTCAATTTTTATTTCTCCAATCTGTTAAAAGAGGCTCAATTTCCGGTGTCGGAAGTTCTTCCTCTCTTCATTTATTTCTGTAATATCTACGAGAACAGACAGCGGTACCTGTAACAGAGATGATTGGTTATTGCGAAACGACGAGGTTGTTGACATAAGAGGCGTTTCTTTGATTCAGAATTGCCTCGTTATTCGCAATCGGCGGGTCGGATGATTCCAGGATCCTCCGATTGAAACGTGCGTTAACTCGAAGTAAGTGATTTGCATGCGTCGTACAATCGACTGTGATTTGTGCAAATCAAGCACTTTTTGAATGAAGCTCGTTATCCGGTAGCTCCTCTAAGTGCACCGTCTATGTGTATCTCTCCGTACACGATCAATATTACACGGAATTTTGTACACGTTTCATTCGAATATCTGGATGAACGGTTCTGGTCATTAGCCGATCCATTCGATCGCATTTAATTGTCCGTTTATATCCGGCGACGTTCGAGTACGAATCGATCCTTATGTAGTGGATTTCAATTTTACCCTCGATATCTGATAATCGTTATTAACCCTTTGCTTTGACGATTAATTTTACATTCCGTTTCGCCTGATTTATTAAGATAATCAGGGTAATTATCAAACGTTTCTTCAATTATTCTTGATTTTTGAACGAATAGTTTAGGAGATGATTTCAACCGAAACTTAAGGACTTTGATCTCATTTCGCGCAACTTTCCCGAGCGCAGAACCACTTCTGCAACACGGATATTCACGTCAGTCCCACCTCACTCTGGTAGAGGTGCAATTAATCCATAAAATAGGTATGCGCTGTGCAACGCATGTTCAACAGCAATTTCATCGTCCAGGCTCCCTTTGTTTTCACCGAAACGGTCGTGCGGTATGCAGGAGGAAAACGTGACACGGACATTTATTCAAAACACCGCGGCACGTTTCGTTTGCATGTCGCGAAAGTGCGATTCGCTCTTAAATCTTCCGTCTAGCCTAGCCGCGAAGATTTATGCACGCGACACGATGATTGTTTCAATGACAGCATGAGCAATGGGAGAAAAAAAGAGGACGGGTACAGTTCATTCGAAATCTACCTAGTGAATTATAGCGTACTAGAATTGTCCCTTTTATTTTTTTTGGTAGGATCACGAGTTACATGAGTACGCTTCGTTTATTTTCACTCATCTTCAATTTTTTTATTTCTCTTTCATTTTGCAACGTGTAACAATGTTCGTTGTACTTTCAAAATAGTAACACGATTAACAACAAAAATCTTTTATTTACATCTAAAATAATACTTTGCTAATTATGCATGTTAGGTGACATTATTTTATCTCAGTTAGTATTATCGACTTGTGGACTTACAAAAAAAAAATAATCTAAGCTTGTACCTTCTAAACCCTTTCTCGTCACTATTAAGTCTAAGTGATTTACAAAAAACATTTGAACTTTGGTTAAAACAGTCGGCTTCAAGGAAAGACGATAAAGAACAGATTACAATGTATCTTACTATCACGATGAACTCATTATCGAGTTGAAACGAGCGAATCGATCACAATTCAACACAGCCTCTACTCACGTAAACTCGAGTACGTAATTGACATCGCTTCTCATTCAATTCGATTCTCGAAAATCTTTCTTTCACACGCACACATCGCCAACATTTAATTACGACACAACATCGAGCGTGTTAAAACATATTAAAAGGCTTACGGGTCGAGTAAGTCCATTTCCATGTATGTTGGCAATCTTTTGCTCATCACCTCCCGGAAGGCTTTTGACTTGACACCAGGGATCTCTTTGCAATCCGCTTGCAATAGTTCACTGATATCCACTGCGTTCTCTTTGTCTAACAGTATTACTGGCAAGACAATGACCGCAGAGAGAAATTCGTACGTCTCGTGCTCTTTCAGAATCCTCTGCAGTTCATCCATGGTGGGCGGTGATGTTTTACAACCAAGTTCCTTCATGACACTTGTTAACGTTTTTAAGTACTCCTCGAGCAAGAAGCCTCTCCTATGTTTATAGAGTTCTTCGCTTAAGCTAGTAGCCGCAAAGTAATGTAGATCAATCGCAGGTGAACTGTATACACATAGCTGAAAGTCTACCTGCAATCACAATTAGAAGGGTTGGTTAATAACCGTCGTTATTGTTTTTCTAAAATTTGAAATTTAATATCTTGCTTCCGCTTACGAAAATATGCTGAATGGGTTTTCCATTGTCATCATATCGGAACAACATGTTGTTCACCCAACAATCCCCATGATTGATCACGTTAAACTCGTTGTCCCTCCACGCTGTAATTTCGCTGCCTTTTCGATATGAATTAGGTGCAAACGCCCTAAGTTTATCCGCATAGCTGTAAATTTCAAAATTTAACAGTGTTTTTAGAAGTATCCCCAAGAAATTAATCGTTTCGTCAATCTTACGGTTTTCCAAATTCTGGCCATGTCTCCACTTCATCCGCCATCGCTTTCAAAGTGCCGGTTAAGAAAATTTGCATCTCCTTTGGATACTCCATACCGAAATAACCTCTTCTATACCGCTCCTTGTATTTCGGTTCCTGTAATTACGATCCAAATTAATCACAAACGTAAAATTTACTTTCTATCGTCCCTTTTCATGGAATGATCCTTACCTTTTCGCACAAAGCGACCGATGCAGCATGAAACGTAGCCATTCTTCTAAGAGCCATTAACGCGTGATCCGTGTCGAAACCAAGATAACGATCGGCCATACGAAAACCAAAAACAGAAAGATCCTCCAGGATCAAACACAACGGTGATTCCAATCGTACGTCATAAACTTTCGCGCAGAAACGTTCCTCAGGTCCCAACAACTGATTCATTTTCTTCACGGCGTCGGTTAGGGCAGAGATCTCCGTGTCGAAGATTTCAGTTTTTTTTATCTTAAGAAACATTCAGAAACACCTGTTGTGAAAGGTGTTGTCGAAGCTCTAATAATATGTGCGAACATTGCGAATGTGAAAAATGGGGGCGGCATGAAAGAAAATGATTAAACACAAATGTACCAAAACTCGTCGGGCACCTTCTGTGGGTGATTCAAGTTTGAGGATCATCGACTTCTTCTCGGTCACCATTTTGTTCCCTTTATTACGGGTGAACTCCACCGTCACCCTCCTTATGTCGCTGCTATAGTTGTCGCCCTTGTCCGTGGCCGCTTTGGTAAATATATTGGTCACCTGCAAGGTATTGTCGTCCTCTGCTAGTCGCATTATTCTCTGGGTGTAGTCGATGTTTAACCATGGTAGTACTTTTCCGGCCATTTCTGAAATTGGAATCGTAATTGGAATTGGTGAATTTTCTTCGACAAGTCATTGTCGTTCTTCCCGGTGCGTCAGAAAATATCAAAACTTATGTAACGTGTATTTTCATAAGTAGTAGAGGCAAATGTATATTTTACACAAATCTAGCGAGTAGTAAAGACGTTTCGCAATTCTGACCGTCACTACGATGAGTCACTTGCGCAGCATCAAGTCCAGCTGCTTCATGCGTGATTATCGCGATCGCACTCGATCGCCGTGATACACCCACACTCACACATACACACCTTCTCTATTTCAAGCAACACTGCCCCGACTCACTTACAACACTTCAAAATATTTTAAAAACATGAATGAATTTACCAAATTACTGATAAATTATTAATTTATCGGTAATCAATTATAATATCTGTAAATTAGATCAAGAAATAAATTACCCTCGTTTTACCTACGCGTCTCACGCTTTCAGAGCGATAAAATTGTTTTCATTAGAAATTATTCCATCACGAGAATGCCCTTATTTTGTGTCGTCGATTTGCAAATAAATCTCTGTCGTTTTCAACACAACCACGTAAAACCAATATAATATTTTTAAAAAAATCTTCACGTTCAGGTAAAAATTTCTCACCCATTTACGAAGGACACGCACATTCTGTAAATGAATAAACGAAACACGAAGCTTCACTGACCTGCAGATGTTTCAAAGATGTTCCCACCTACTATTTCACTTCACTAGACCTCCGTGGCTATTCGGTACGGAGTGAGGCAGAATGTATCGCCTTGTCACGTTTTATACGAACTTCCACACATTTTTTATGCCCCAATCAAAAGCGTCCGGATCTCGAACGTCATCTATGGTTAACAATCAGCCAACACTTGAATTCCTCGTTCATCGTTGCCATATTGACATATATGGTTTTCCATAGCGGTTATCGGATGACTACGCGATCTAATGACTATCTTAGTGATTTTTTCTTGACTCAAAAAATAAAATACCTCTGGAGCTCGCAGGCAGCTTAACAATTGTGTATCATATTAATTAAAACTATAGATAAAATCGTTTCAAGATAAATTAAACGACAGAGAGAAGATAATAGTAATTTTTTTCAACTCAAATATGTACTCTGCAGTGCAAATAGTTGAATGATAATTGTGATAAGAGGTCTTCTGCATGCTATGGAAGCGCTAGGCACGTGGCGTAATAACAATGATGAGATTGTAATCTAGAAGAAATTTCAATTGTCCTGTCGATGGTCTGACTGATTTCGTAATCAGTCTTCAGTTCGTACACGTGAACAACCGTACACAGTTGAGTCAAATATATATCTCTATCGTATTCATTCTAAACATTGGTACCAACACGACCCGATGATTGTTTCAAGGACAGCATGAGGAATGGTAGAGAAAAAGGGGACACGTACAGTTCTTTCGTAATTTATCTAGTGAATTATAGCGTACTAGAATTGTTCCCCTTTCTTTTTTTGATAGGATCACGAGTTACATGAGTACGCTGGGTTTATTTTCATTGATCTTCAATTTTTTTATTTCTTTTTCATTGTGTAACGTATAACAATGTTCGAGCACTTTCAAAATCGTAGCACGATTAACAACAAAAATCTTTTATTTCCATCCAAAATAATACTTTGTTAATTCTGCATGTTAGGTGACATTATTTTGTCGCTCAATTTGTACCATTGAGTTGCGGACTTACAAAAGAAAATAATCTAAGCGTGTACCTTCTAAGCTCTTTTTCGTCATTATTAAGTCTAAGTGATTTACAAAAAACATTTGAACTATGGTTAAACCATTCGGCTTCAAAGAATAGTCGATAAAGAACCGATTACAATGTATCTTATTATCACGAGCGAATTGATCACAATTCAACACAGCCCTTACCCACGTAAATTCCAGTACGTAATTGACATCATTTCTCATTGAATTAGATTCTCGAAAATCTTTCTTTAACACACCCACTGCTGTTCACTCCATATCGCGTGTTCCATCGCTAACGTTTAATTGATATCATCGACAGAACATCGGGCGTGTGAAAACATAATAAAAGGTTCACGGGTCGAGTAAGCCTATTTCCATGTATCTGGGCAATCTTTTGCTCATCACCTTCCGGAAGGCTTCTGACTTGAGACCACGGTTATCTTTGAAATCCGCTTGCAATAGTTCATTGATGTCCACTGCATTATCCTTGTCTAACAGTATTATTGGCAAGATAAGGACCGAAGCTATCAATTCGTACATCTCTCGTTCATTCAGGATCCTCTGCAATTCGTCCTTGGTGGGCGGTGATGTTTTACAACCAAGTTTCTTCATGACACTTGTCAACGCTTTCAAGTACTCCTCGAGCAACAAGCCTCTCCTATGTTTATAAACTTCTTCGCTTAAGCTGGTAGCCATAAAGTAATGTAGATCAACCGCAGGTGAACTGTATAAACATAGCTGAAAGTCTACCTGCAATACCAATTAGAAGGGTTCGTTAATAACAGTCGATATTGTTTTTCTAAAATTTGAAACTTAATTCACTTACGAAAATATGTTGAATGGGTTTTCCATTGTCATCATACCGGTACAACATGTTGTTCACCCAACAATCCCCATGATTGATCACGTTGAACTCGTTGTCCTTACGTGCTAAAGCTTCGGCGCCTTTTCGATAAGAATTAGGTGCAAACGCCCTAATTTTATCCGCATAGCTGTAAATTTCAAAATTTAACAGTGTTTTTAGAAATATTCCAAAGGAATTAATCGTTTCCTTAATCTTACGGTTTTCCTAATTCTGGCCACTTCTCCACTTCATCCGCCATCGCTTTCAAAGTGGAGGGTATGTAAGTGTGCATCTCCTCTGGATACTCAATACTGATCATTCCTTTTCTATACTGCTCTTTGTATTTCGGTTCCTGTAATTACGATGCAAATTAATCGCAAACTTAAAATTTTCTATCGTTCCTTTTCATGGTATGATCCTTACCTTTTCGCACAAAGCGACCGACGCAGCATGAAACCTAGCTATTCCTCTAAGAGCCATTAACGCGTGATCCATGTCGAGACCAAGTTGACGATTGGCCATACGAAAACCAAGAACAGAAAGATCCTCCAGGATCAAACACAACGGTGGGTCCATTCGTACGTGATAAACATTCGCGCAAAGACGTTCCTCAGGTCCCAACATGTGATTCATTTTCTTCACGGTGTCGGTTAGGGCAGAGATCTCCGTGTCGAAGACTTCAATTTTACTGATCTTAAGAAACATTCAGAAACACCAGCGAATGTGAAAAAGGAAGCAGCATGAAAGAGGGCAAAATGGTTAAACACAAATGTACCAGATCTTGTCGGGCACCTTCTTCGAGGGGTTCAAGTTTGAGGATCATAGACTTCTTCTCGGTCTCCATTTTGTCCCCTTTTTTACGGGTGAACTCCACCGTCATCCTCATCATGTCGCTGCAATAGTTGTCGCCCTTGTCCGTGGCCGCTTTTGTAAATATATTGGTCACCTGCAAGGTATTGTCGTCCTCTGCTAGTCGCATAATCTTCTTGGTGTAGTCGATATTTAGCCATGGTAGTACTTCTCCAGCCATTTCTGAAATTGGAATCGGAATCGGAATTGGAGAATTTTCTTCGACAAATCATTATCGTTCTTCCCGGTGCGTCAGGAAATACCAGGACTTAGGTAACGTGTATTTTTCACAAGTAGCGAATAGGAAAGATTTTCTCAATTCTGGCTCTCACTACGATGAGTCACCTGCCCAGCACGAAGTGCAGCTGCTTCATGCGCGATTACCGCGATCGCACTCGTTCGCCGTGATACACGTACACTGACATATACCCACATTCGCTACCTCAAGCAACACTGCCCCGACTCACTTACAACACTTAAAAATATTTTGAAAACATGAATGGTCCAATTTACCAAATTACTGATAAATTATTAATTTATCGGTGATCAATAATAATATCTGTAAATTTGATCAAGGAATAAATTATCCTCGTTTTACCTTCGCGTTGCATACTTTCAGAGCGATAAAATTGTTTTCATTAGAAATTATTCGATCACGAGAATACCCTTAATTTGTGTTTCCGAATTGCAAATAAATCGCTGTCGTTTCCAACACAACCACATTAAATCACCACAATATTTTTAAAATATCCTCACGTTCAGATAAAAATTTCTCACCGATTTACGAAGGACACGCACATTTTGTAAATGAATAAACGAAACACACGAAGCTTCACTGACCTGCAGATGTTTCAAAGATGTTCCCACCTACTATTTCACTTCACTAGACCTCCGTGGCTATTTGGTACGGAGTGAGGCAGAATGTATCGCCTTGTCACGTTTTATACGAACCTCCACACATTATTTATGCTCCAATCAGAAGCGTCCGGATCTCGAACGTCATCTATCGTTAACAATCAGTCAACACTTGATATTCTCGTTCATCGTTGCCATAGTGACTTCATAGAGGTTATCGGATGACTACGCGATGTAATGATTATCTCAATGATTTTTTATTGACTCGAAAAATAAAATACCTTAGGAGCTCGCAGACAGCTTAACAATTGTGTATCATATTAATTAAAACTATAGATAAAATCGTTTCAAGATAAATTAAACGACAGAGAGAAGATAATAGTAATTTTTTTTAAGTCAAATATACACTCTGCAGTGCAAATAGTTGAATGATAATTGTGATAAGAGGTCTTCTGCATGCTATGGAAGCGCTAGACACGTGGCGTAATAACAATGATGAGATTGTAATCTAGAAGGAATTTCAATTGTCCTGGCGATGGTCTGCCGATAATTCCTAAGCATTATATTATTAGACTTCGAAAAGGAGGAGGATACTCAATTCGATGTGTATATTTTATTTTATTTTTTTGTTCGAAAACAGTACTACGAAATAGTCGTATCAGTCGGGAGGCTACATCAGTCGTACAACCGATTATTCTAACATTATGACTCCCACGTGCATCGCGGCTGCTGCGTTTTCAGCTAGCTTACAGGGGCAATGTCCAGCAAGATGATTTGCTGAACCGTTGAGCCTATGGCCATTAGTTAAACTCTAAACGTTTGCTAATTGCTCACTTACGTCAACACTTCCTTCACTGGACTACCTCTCTGCGTCTCCTTACTGATCGTTTGTAAGATTCTGGAGTGAAAGGGTAGAAACGAGGGAAAGGACATTGAGGTTTGAGTTAAGTATCCGTCAAGGCTCCGATCAGATTACTTAGTAAGCATTCTTCAGTTCATACACGTGAACAACTACACACAGTTGAGTCAAATATATATCTTTATCGTATTCATTCTAAACATTGGTACCAACACGACCTGATGATTGTTTCAAGGACAGCATGAGTAATGGGAGAGAAAAAGGGGACAAGTAAGTTCATTCGTAATTTACCTAGTGAATTATAGCGTACTAGAATTGTTCCCCTTTCTTTTTTTGATAGGATCACGTGTTACATGAGTATGCTTGGTTTATTTTCATTGATCTTCAATTTTTTTATTTTGTTTTCATTGTGTAACGTGTCACAATGTTCGAGCACTTTCAAAATCGTGGCACGATTAACAACAAAAATCTTTTATTTTCATCCAAAATAATCCTTTGTTAATTCTGCATGTTAGGTGACATTATTTTATCGCTCAATTTGTACCATTGAGTTGTGCACGTACAAAAAAGAAATAATCTAAGCGTGTACCTTCCAAACTCTTTTTCGTCATAATTAAGTCTAAGTGATTTACAAAAAACATTTGAATTGATCACAATTCGACACAGCCTCTACCCACGTATATTCGAGTACGTAATTGACATCACTTCTCATTGAATTAGATTCTCGAAAATCTTTCTTTAACACACCCACTGCCGTTCACTCGATATCGCGTGTTCCATCGCTAACGTTTAATTGACATCATCGACAGAACATCGAGCGTGTTAAAACATATTATAAGACTCACTGGTCGAGTAAGCCCATTTCCATGTATCTGGGCAATCTTTTGCTCATCACCTTCCGGAAGGCTTCTGACTTCAGACCATGGTTATCTTTGAAACCCTCTTGCAATAGTTTATTGACATCCACTGCGTTATCTTTGTCTAAGAGTATTATTGGCAAGACAACGGCCGAAGCTATCAATTCGTACGTCTGTCGTTCTTTCAGGATCCTCTGCAATTCGTCCTTGGTGGGTGGTGATGTTTTACAACCAAGTTTCTTCATGACACTTGTCAACTCTTTCAAGTACTCCTCCAGTAACAAGCCACTCCTATGTTTGTAAACTTCTTCGCTTAAGCTGGTAGCCATAAAGTAATGTAGATCAACCGCAGGTGAACTGTATAAACATAGCTGAAAGTCTACCTGCAATACCAATTAGAAGGGTTCGTTAATGACAGTCGTTATTGTTTTTCTAAAATTTGAAATTCAATTCACTTACGAAAATATGCTGAATGGGTTTTCCATTGTCATCATACCGGAACAACATGTTGTTCACCCAACAATCCCCATGATTGATCACATTGAACTCGTTGTCCTTACGCGCTATAGCTTCGCCGCCTATTCGATATGAATTAGATGCAAACACCCTAACTTTATCCGCATAGCTGTAAATTTCAAAATTTAACAGTGTTTTTAGAAGTTTTCCAAAGAAATTAATCGGATCGTTAATCTTACGCTTTTCCAAATCCTGGCCACTTCTCCACTTCATCCGCCATCCCTGTTAGAGTGTCGGGTATGAAAACGTGCATCTCCTCTGGATACTCCATACTGATTATTCCTTTTCTATACTGCTCTTTGTATTTCGGTTCCTGTAATAACGATGCAAATTATCGCAAACGTAAAATTTACGTTCTATCGTTTCTTTTTATGGAATGATCCTTACCTTTTCGCACAATGCGACCGACGCAGCATGAAACCTAGCTATTCCTCTAAGAGCCATTAACGCGTGATCCATGTCGAGACCAAGTTGACGATCGGCCATACGAAAACCAAGAACAGAAAGATCCTCCAGGATCAAACACAACGGTGGTTCCATTCGTACGTGATAAACTTTCGCGCAGAGACGTTCCTCAGGTCCCAACATGTGATTCATTTTCTTCACGGCTTCGGTTAGAGCAGAGATCTCCGTGTCGAAGACTCCAATTTTACTGATCTTGAGAAACATTCAGAAAGACCTGTTGTAAAAGGTGTTGTCGAAGCTCTAATAATACGTGCAAACATTGCGAATGTGAAAAAGGGAGCAGCACGAAGGACAGAGAAAATGATTAAACACAAATGTACCAGATCTCGGCGAGCACCTTCTTCGAGTGGTTCAAGTTTGAGGATCATCGACTTCTTCTCGGTCACCAGTTTGTCCCCTTTATTACGGGTGAACTCCACCATCACCCTCATCATGTCGCTGGAATAGTTGTCGCCCTTGTCCGTGGCCGCTTTGGTAGATATATTGGTCACCTGCAAGGTATTGTCGTTCTCTGCTAGTCGCATTATCCTCTTGATGTAGTCGATGTTTAGCCATGGTAGTACTTCTCCGGCCATTTCTGAAATAGGAATCGGAATTGCAATTGGAGAAATTTCTTCGACAAATCATTATCGTTCTTCCCGGTGCGTCAGGAAATATCAAAACTTATGTAACTTATATTTTTCACAAGTAGCAGAGACAAATGTATATTTTACACAAATGTAGCGAGTAGTAAAGACGTTTTGCTATTCTGACCGTCAGTACGATGAGTCCCCTGCGCAGCATTAAGTCCAGCTGCTTCATGCGTGATTGCCGCGATTGCACTCGATCGCCGTGATTAACGCACACTCACACATACGCATTTTCGCTACCTCAAGCAATACTGCCCTGACTCACTTACAACATTTCAAAATATTTTAAAAACATGAATGAATTTACTAAATTACTGATAAATTATTAATTTATCGGTAATCAATTATAATATCTGTAAATTAAATCAAGGAATAAATCACCCTCGTTTTTCCCTCGCGCCTCACGCTTTCACAGCGATGAAATTGTTTTCATTAGAAATTATTCGATCACGAGAATGCCCTTATTTTGTGTTTTCGAATTGCAAATAAATCACTGTCGTTTTCAACACAACCACGTAAATTATTTTTAAAAAAATCTTCACGTTCAGATAAAAATTTCTCACCCATTTACGAAGGACACGCACATTTTGTAAATGAATAAATGAAATGCACGAAGCTTCACTGACCTGCAGTTGTATCATAGATGTTCCCACTTACTATTTCACTTCACTAGACCTCCGTGGCTCTTTGGTATGGTGTGGGGCAGAATGAATCGCCTTGTCACGTTTTATACGAACCTCCACACATTATTTATGTTCCAATCAGAAGCGTCCGGATCTCGAACGTCATCTATCGTTAACAATCAGTCAACACTTGATATTCTCGTTCATCGTTGCCATACTGATTTCATAGAAGTTACCGCATTACTACGCGATCTAAAGACTATTTTAATGGTTTTTTGATGATTCGAAAAATAAAATAAAAAAGTATCATATCAAATCAAACTGTAGATAAAATCATCTCGTGATAAATTAAACGACAGAGATAAGATAATAGTAATTATTAGAAAGTCAGATAAGTTTTCTGCAGTGCAAATAGTTGAATGATAATTGTGATAAGTGTCTTCTGTATGCTATGGAATCACTAGGCACGTGGCGTGATAACAATGATAATACTGTAATCCAGTAGGAATTACAATTGTCCTGTCGATGGTCTGACGAGCATTCGTAAGCATTTTATGAAAACAGTACTGTGAAATAATCGTTTCAGTCGAGAGTCGACATCAGTCGTACAACCGATCCTTCTAACTACATGACTCCCACGTGCATCGCGGCTGCTAGGTTTTCAACTCGCTTACTTGGGCAATGTCCAGCGAGATGATTTGCTGAACCGTTCAGCCTACGGCCATTAGTTAAATTCCAAACGTTTGCTAATTGCTCACTTCCGTTAACACCTCCCTCGCTGGACTACCTCTCTGCGCCTCCTTGCTGACCGTTCGTAAGACTCTGGAGAGAAAGGGTAGAAACGAGGAACAGGACATTGAGATTTGAGTTAAGTATCCGTCAAGGCTCTGATCATATTACTTCGAAAGCACTCTTCAGTTCATACACGTGAACAACTGTACACAGTTGAGTCAAATATATATTTCTCTCGTATTCATTCTAAACATTGGTACCGACATGACACGATGATTGTTTCAATGACAGCATGAGTAATGGGAGAAAAAAAGGGGACGCGTATAGTTCTTTCGTAATTTACCTAATGAATTATAGCGTACTAGAATTGTTCCCCTTTCTTTTTTTTGGTAGGATCAGGAGTTACATGAGTACACTTGGTATATTTTCATTCATCTTCAATTTTTTTATTTCTTTTTCATTGTATAACGTGTAACAATGTTCGAGCACTACCAAAATAGTAGCATGATTAACAACAAAAATCTATTATTTACATCTAAAATAATACTTTGTTATTTATGCATATTTGGTGACATTATTTTATCGCTCAGTTTGTACTATCGACTTGTGGACTTCCAAAAACAATTAATCTAAGTGTGTACCTTCTAAACCCTTTCTCGTCATTATTAAGTCTAAGTGATTTACAAAAAACATTTGAACTTTGGTTAAACCGTTCGGCTTCAAGGAAAGACGATAAAGAACAGATTACAATGTATCTTACTATCACGACGAACTCATTATCGAGTTGAAACGAGCGAATCGATCACAATTCAACACAGCCTCTACTCACGTAAACTCGAGTATGTAATTGACATCGCTTCTCATTGAATTCGATTCTCGACAATCTTTCTTTAACACATCCACTGCTGCTCACTCGATATCGCGTGCTCCATCGCCATCGTTTAATTACGACACAACAGCGAGCGTGTTAAAGCACATTAAAAGGCTCACGGGTCGAGTAAGCCCATTTCCATGTATTTTGGCAATCTTCTGCTCATCACCTTCCGGAAGACCTTTGACTTCATACCAGGGTTAACTTTGCAATCCCCATCCATTAGTTCATTGAAAGACGCTACGTTTTCCTTGTCTAACAGTATCATTGGTAAGATAACGACCGAAGATATAAATTCGTACGTCTCCCGTTCTTTCAGAGTCCTCTGCAGTTCGTCCATGGTGGGCGGTGATGTTTTACAACCAAGGTTCTTCATGACACTTGTTAACGTTTCCAAGTACTCCTCGAGCAATAAGCCTCTCCTATGTTTATAAACTTCTTCGCTTAAGCTAGTAGCCGCAAAATAATGTAGATCAACCGCAGGTGAACTGTATAAACATAGCTGAAAGTCTACCTGCAATACCAATTAGAAGGGTTCGTTAATAACAGTCGTTATTGTTTTTCTAAAATTTGAAGCTTAATTCACTTACGAAAATATGTTGAATGGGTTTTCCATTGTCATCATACCGGAACAACATGTTGTTCACCCAACAATCCCCATGATTTATCACGTTGAACTCGTTTTCCTTACGTGCGATAGCTTCGGCGCCTTTTCGATATGAATTAGGTATAAACGCCCTAAGTTTATCCGCATAGCTGTAAATTTCAAAATTTAACCGTGTTTTTAGAAGTATTCTCAAGGAATTAATCGTTTCGTCAATCTTACGGTTTTCCAAATTCTGGCCATGTCTCCACTTCATCCGCCATCGCTGTCAAAGTGCCGGTTATAAAAATATGCATCTCCTTTGGATACTCCATACTGAACAAACCTTTTCTATACCGCTCCTTGTATTTCGGTTCCTGTAATTACGATCCAAATTAATCGCAAACGTAAAATTTACTTTCTATCGATCCTTTTCATGAAACGATCCTTACCTTTTCGCACAAAGCGACCGACGCAGCATGAAACCTAGCCATTCCTCTAAGAGCCATTAACGCGTGATCCATGTCGAGACCAAGTTGACGATCGGCCATACGAAAACCAAGAACAGAAAGATCCTCCAGGATCAAGCACAACGGTGGTTCCATTCGTACGTGATAAACTTTCGCGCTGAGACGTTCCTCAGGTTCCAACATGTGATTCATTTTCTTCACGGTGTCGGTTAGGACAGAGATCTCCGTGTCGAAGAGTTCAATTTTACTGACCTTAAGAAACATTCGGAAACACCTGTTTTAAATGGGGTTGTCGAAGCTTAAATAATGTGTGCAAACATTGCGAATGTGAAAAGGGTCAGCAGCATGAAGGAAAATGATTAAACACAAATGTACCAGGTCTCGTCGGGCACCTTCCTCGAGTGGTTCAAGTTTGAAGATTATCGACTTTTTCTCGGCCACCTTATTCTCCCCTTCATTACGGGTGAACTCCACCGTCACCCTGAACATGTCGCTGGTATAGTTGTCGCCCTTGTCTGTGGCCGCTTTGGTAAATATATTGGTCACCTGCAAGGTATTGTCCTCCTCTGCTAGTCGCAGTATCCTCTTGGTGTAGTCGATGTTCAGCCATGGTGGTACTTCTACGGCCATTTCTGAAATTGGAATCGGAATTGGAATTGGAGAATTTTCTTCGACAAATCATTGTTCTTCCCGGCGCGTCAGGAAACACGAAAACGATTCTTTACAGTAACTTATTGTTCACGGCGAGATTTATCATGCTTTCCTTTCGTTCCTATTTCTTTCTCTAGCTCTCCTAACTCGCTCTTTCTCTTTCATTCTCGATATTCACCGAGAACGTTTCTCGGGTTCGAGATCGAGCTGTTTCAATTAGAAGCGTAATGGAACGAAGAGGCTCCTTTTCATTTCGTTCTCTCTTTCTCTTTCTTGGTTCCTCCCCGTGTTCGCGATGCAGCACGTTTCAACCTTCGAGATTCCATCGTGCTCGATCGAGCCGCGATATTTTAAAGAAATTTACGACGAGCCACGAATCGCGTCGCGAACAAAGAACGCGTTGTTGAATCAAAAAGAATCTAGAAAGACGGAAGCTTTGCATCTACGAAGCTCGTGGATCTTATAAGCTAATAAAGAGGACATTCACGTGTCACGACTGCTTTCTATCACTCCTTCGAAAGTTTATTAGCTACAGTAGCCTCTGTATCGAGGTTATCAAGTCGTATACGGATATTGAAAATGAAACATGTAATAAATTGTGTTTGTCCAGAGAAACGTGGAAATTGAGGTCATTTAACTGTTATCTTGTATCATGCTTTTTCGAATTTAATAGCTCTAAGACATAATAAGAGATAATAGCTCTAACAATGTTTGAAGTTTCAACCTAGTTTAAAATCTAGAAATAACCATTTACTTGCCTACCCTATTTTTATACTTTGCCTAGTTTTCGTATTCTATTAACTACTCGCTTTATTATTTGCTCTTTCGATGGACTAAATGGTGGATAGGGTTGACACCTAATTATTTGCTCTATTAATTGAAGTTTGGCTTCAAGCTTGGAAGTGTCCAAAAATAACGGGTTACTGAAGCACAGTTCTATGACCGGCAAATTAGGGTAGACGAGATTAATGATTCCATTTATTTCGGCTCAGTTAGATCGTTGACGGACCGTGATGTATGGCTATTTTATGCGTGTGGAAATTCTAATGCCGCGAGACGCAATCTAATTATAGATGGTATTAATGCTAATTTAGTAATATTATCGATGCAATACTTTGGTTTTAAATAAGATACAACACGTTCTAATGTACTCTCAGAAATGATTGACCTTTATGTACATCTAATGACTCGTAATCATTACTGATAGGAGTTATACTGATAAGTTAATCACAGTAGTGGGTCAAATGCGTCACGTAAATTATGAGCTAACCGGAGCATTGCGAGGTCATTTTTCTTCATCGTCATTCCTTTGATAGTGAAAGGAATAAATGCAATAGACTTTAATAAAAATATTTTAAAAATATGAATGACCCAATTCACCAAATTACTGTAAATTAATAACTTATCGGTAATGAATAATAATATCTGTAAATTAGATCAGGGAATAAATTATCCTCGCTTTACCTTCGCGTTGCACGCTTTCGGAGCGATAAAATTATTTGATCACGAGAATGCTCTTATTTTGTGTTTCCGAATTGCAAATAAGTCGCTGTCGTTTCCAACACAACCACATTAAATCACCACAATATTTTAAAAAATATCCTCACGTTCAGATAAAAATTTCTCACCCATTTACGAAGGAGACGC